GTAAGCCTATCTAATGCTAGGTGTGTGGACATTGTGCTAGGGTAGTTTCAGTGTGTCAACTTTATGAACTGAAATATAAACCAGTAAAATTGTATTACTGTTTCTTTTGTTGGTTTTATTTTAACAGCATATTCATTAAATATTTTGGTACAAACAGCATTGCTTTGTAAAAACCAGTTTGATCATCATGTGCTCCTATCGCCTCCCCTTCTCCCATTTCCCTTCTCCCCAGTCCTTCTCCCCTGTGGTCCCCTTCTTCCCGTTCAGTTGATTTCCTTCTCACCGGTGTCCTCTTCCCATGTCCCCTTCACTCCCGTTGTCCCCTTCCCCCGTGTCCCTTCTCCCCCGGTGTCCTTCTTCCCCCCGTTCCGCCTTTCTCTCCGGCCGTTCCCTTCTCCCCCGCTTCTCGCCCTCCTCTCCCCCCGTCCCTTTTCCCCCTGTCCCCTTCCCTCCCTTGCTCCGTTCCCCCTCCCCCCGCTCATCCCCCTTTCTCCCCCCCGTCCCCTTCTCCTCCCGTACCCCTTCTCCCGCCGCCGTCCCCTTCTTCCCCCCCATCCCCTTCTTCCCCCCATCCCCTGCACACAGAAGCAGAGTCAGAGAAGACCACTGTGTGTGCTGTCAGAGAGGCATGTGTGAGTGCGAGGCAGGCCCTCACCCACCTGTTCAGATGTATGGAGTGGTAGGGTGTGGCGGGCCACATGGGGCAAGATGACTGATGCCTCTGTGTTTATGATGAACATTGCCCCTCTGAGAAATAATGTGCTGCAGTAGCAGGGATAAGGGATACTTGGTGTTTTTGAGGCTTAAGGAAGCCTTACGGGAGGTAAGGGTCAAATTAGACCTTCAAAGGCAAAAGCATCTCACCAGGCAGAGATGGAAGAGGGAATTCCAGGGCCAGAATGTGCACGTGCAGGGGAAATAGCTGAAGAGTAGAAAGGCAGACTGAGCACCTGGGGGACAGGTGTGGTCTGCTAAAAGCTTTAGGGAAAGCAGTGACATGGAGTTATATCTTCAGAGCCTCTTTCTTCCCACTGCTTGTCCTCCACATCCCTGCACCATACAGATGAGGCTCCCAGGCCTTCTGCTGCCCCTCTTTACCACCTCAACCCCCTTTTCCATAGCAGGAAGAAGAATGATGCTTCCCTAATCTTATGGTTCCCCCTCCCCGCTTGACCTGCCCTCCAGGACCCCACTTATGCCTAGCCTTTAAGTGGATGCAGGCTGAACAGACCATAGCTTCATGCCTGCAAGGAAGGCAGGGAGGGAGGAAGGAAGTGGGGGGAGGGGAAGAAGAGGGAAGGAGGAAGGAGATTAGATAGATGAGAGATAATAGATAAGATGGATAGATGATAGATAGGGATAGAGATATAGATGAGAGAGCAGGTGGGCCCTGTGCTGTCTTTCTCCACTGCAAGGAAATTAGGAAAGTTTCTAGCTTAGGACTCAGCCCCTGGCAGGTACTCTTGCAGAAGCCAGGACTGTGGCTCCAGAGCACAGCTAGGTCCCTTTGATGCTCACAGGCTGCAGGCTGGAGGACATGTTTCTGGGATTCACATTCTGCATCAGCCTGCGCCATGCTTTTCCTGTCACATGGCTTCGATGTTCAGTAGTGTAGGGACTCGGCAGAAATCCTCATCCCTGCAGCTGCGTATTGGCCCAAGAAAAGGAGTCCGTATACTATTCAGTCTTGGCACACAGGCCTAAAACAACTCAGATGAGGGTCCTGCTTTTGGGGAGGTCCCCTGGTTATGTTGAGGCTGAGATTGAGAATAATAATAGTGACACTGTGTGGTAAGTCGTGTACAGGTGTATGGGATTCTGTGGGAAGGTATGTGTAAATGCAGGAGGGACAAAGTGGTAGTGACAGTGTGACTGACAACTAAGGGACCTGCTAGCTAGGTAGAGGAGCAGCAAGAGGACAGCAGCATTTAGGTGGGAAGAACAGTAGTAGTTAAGTCTGCTTGAGATGGGGTGATTGAGAGATGAAAGTGGGTAATTGGGTTGCGGCCATGCCAGGGAGTTTGGAGCTGATGAGTCGTCACTGGAGAGTTTTAACCCATTTATGCCAGAGGTTACAAATTTTTTTGTGTGAAAAATCAGACCTTGGCGATGACCTTGAGCAGTAGGATATAAATAACTCCCACAAGCTTAGCGTTCCAATAATGGAACACTAGGCATAAATGGGTTAAGCTAACTTGCACTTTGAGCAGTTCCCTGCTGATCCTTTAGGAAGGAAAATTGGGAGAAGAAATTAAGGGTGTGAGCAGAGGTGATACATAATAGAATAAGGAATGGAGAACGGAGTCAGTAAAATTTGGTGAGAGTGACGACACACCAGGAAGATACATTTAGCTGTCAGTGTAGAGATTTGAAATAGTCTGGGACTTGCAAGTTGGAGATACTGGCAGTCTGCAGCGGCTCAGTTGTTGGTTAGGCATCTCTAGCACAGGGTTTCTAGAACTCATTGTTGATGATTTGGTTGATTGATACTTTTGTGCTGTAGGGGGTCTGTCCTGTGTAATCCCAGCAGCATCCCTGGCCTCTGTCCACTGGATGCTAGTGCATATACCCCACTCCAACTGGCACAACCAAAAATGTCTTCAGGTATTGCCGAATATTCCCTGAGGGGGCCAAATGATTGAGAACCACTGCTTGAGCAAGCCGAAGCTAGGAGCCTGGAGAGACTGCCTAGGTAATGTACAGCTTAAGCAAGGGCTAGGAGCTGCCATCCAAGGAGCAGGAGGGAAGACATGGAGAAAGGGGCACGGACGGCCAGAGAAGAGCAAGAGTACTTTGGGGTGGGGATGAGGGCAGAACTGGAAAAGCTTCATTGGATTTGGGAGCTGGAAGGTTGTTTGTTAGGGCAGTGGCCACTACAGTTGAGGTGGGAGGGCAGGAGGCAGAGACAAGCAAGTATAGATTTTAAGAAACCTGGCTATGAGGGAAGTGGGCAAGCAAGGCCAGTGGTCAGAGGGGACTATGGCAGGAAGTGCAGTTGTGCTGGGCCACTCAGACTGTGGTTCCAACCTTGGGCACCTGTTGTCTCCTGCTCACGAGGTCAGCAAGCATGCACCGTAGGCTGAGTGGACCTTCTTTGGCAGGCCCTGCTGCAAACCAAGCTGATTTCCAGGGCCTTGATAATTCTCAGTGGGGAGGCAGTGGCTCAGACCGAATGCCAAGAGCTATCAGCCCCAAAGTGTCTGCACCTCTTCTGAATTCCAAGTCCCAGGGGCAGGGGTTGAGTAGTGAAAGGGTGAAGAAAAGAGCCACGGGCTACTGGAATAAGCCCAGAACGCAGCTCCCATGTCTGAGCTGCCCCAACAGTTGTGACAAGCAGAGCCTGTGTGGAGGGGGCGCAGCAGGGGCATGGGCCCCTTGGGCCTTGGAGACTCACTTCACTGCTTAGAGGTGTGCCTGATTCTGACATTGGGATTTTAATCGTCTTCTAAGATTCATTTGGGGGGTGATGAAAGAACAGGAGAGCTGGAGCAGGCAGACATGAGGACTGGAGCCGCCCAGAAGGGGCACTGACGCACTCCCAGAACAACAGACATGAGTGCTGAGTTCTCTGCCCTCCCCATTTGATAGGTGAAGAGGATGGGCTCAGAGAGACGGCTGGGATGCTGACTCGTACTTCTGTCAGTAACCACAGGGTGGCTGCTTAAAGATGACCCTGTGGGCTGCAGGTAGGTATAAACTGTCAGCACTATACTGCAAGCCACACACACAGAAACTCAAAAGGGTTCAAGGCCAGGCCATACCCTTGAATGCACATTTCACTTAACCTTCTTCCCGAGTTCTATCTGTGCAGTGGGTCCAATACCTGGCTCATCAGGGCTGCTGGGCTCTCCTGTGACGCCCTTGGCTCTTTTCCTGTATTCTTCTCCCTCCAGTCGTCAGAACACCCCTGAGTTCAGTGATGTTATTCCCAAATTTGAAAGTGAAGGTGAAAGGTCTGCCTGTGACCACACCATCGGGAAGTTGAGTCTTTCCTAACACACACCATCACCTTCACCTCTTTCAGGGCCCAAGAGCAAGAAAGACAATGCTCCCTCCCTTCCTCTCTCCCAGATCCACCTCAACAACCTGTCTCCTGTGCTGCTGAGCCCTGTGGCAATTGTGAACAAGAAAGCCTGGCTGTCCCTCAATCTCAGAAAGGCAAACCTGAGAATGAGGATGGTAATAGCAGAGGGCTGGCCCGGCCGGCTCTTCTTTCAGTCAATTCTTGCTTCGTTGTAGATCCAGCCTGATGATGTATAGGGAGAAGGCGGGGCCCTGAGTTACAAAGTGAGGCAAAAACAGGCAGCGCCATTGCCCACACAACTCTCCACTTACCTGGAGGCAGCAGCAGCAGCCCCTGGCCCGGTTCCCCACCAGGCCACTTCCCTGGGCTGCCAGATCTTCTTCGTCCTCGTCCCTCCAAGTGGGCTGGGACTACATTGTGGTCTTGAGCTCTCAATTACTAGGGCAGCTCAACTGCAGAAGCCCTGCAGGGGACCAGGCAGCAGGAGGAAGAACCTCAGCTTTGGGTTCTAATTGCTGCCGCCCTCTAGAAGCTCGACACCATTGGGCAGGGTCCTTTAACCCTGAGCCTCGGTTCCCGATCTGTATTGTCTGTCCGGGTATTACTGACCCCGGGAACAGGTGTGACGATTTAAGAGGTCAGCACTCAACATGACATCACTTACCACTCACTGTGCCAGGCTGCCAGGTTCATGTTGAGGAAACTTCACACCACAGAGAGGCAGGGTTTTAAGGATCATTAATAGGATCACAAATTAGGCCCTGGCCCCACCCAAATCACTGTCCATTATCAGGAGCACCCACCCCCTTCAAACGTCCTCGGCCCCTCCATCCCTTTGCATGAATGGAAGAACCTGTAACATGTACTGAACTAGAGCCTTAAGGGCCAGGAAAAGGGAGCCTGCACTTGAACCTTTCACCAAAGCTGTATCCTTCATTTTACCAGAGTGGGTCCTGCACAGAACAGTCCATTACTGTGTGTGACAGAAGCATTTGTTTTTATTTATCCAAATGGGGAAAATGCAACATGTCAGGGCATTACAGACAAACTGCAGCAGCCAGACAAGAGGGTCAGTCTATGGCAGAGTCCAACATACTCAGCGTGAAGGAGCCACAGTGTGGGTGCTGCCTGGAGGACTTGTGGCAGCAGGGTCCCTTTGGATGAAGGCCAGGCATCTCTGGGCGAGGCACTGATGACCGTCCACATGTGCAGGCTGCTGCTTCAGTCACGCTGAAGGTTTAAAGTTCAGAGTCCTACATGTAATAATTGCCTCAGAGGGGAAGGGCAGTCCATGGTGGTCGTGGTTTCCAGTGTTTTTAAACATAATACACAAACTTATTGCCAAGGACTTTGCACTGCAAATTATACTATTTACACTTGCGTATTCAGAAAAACACAGTAAATAGATACATGATAGATAACTTTAAATAGATTTCTAAAAACTAACTTGGTCTTCAGTAGACCCAAGTGAGCTACAGCCAGGAGTCCAATGCCATGTGTGTGACCGTGCAGTAGGGAAAGATTTCTATCCACGACTACGCTCAGCCGCCTCCTGCCTCCCCCACCCTTGGGGCTGATGAAGGGCTAAGGCTGAGCAGGCCTACCTTACTCCTTAGTGTGAGAGCTTCAGGTCTAGACTGGCTGCACCTCCCACCTCCTTCCCCGACAGTTCTGCTTGGAGTGGGTGAGAAGCAAGTCCTACAGGCTCCACTCCTGCAGGACCACTACACGGCGGGGAAACCAGGACACAAAGGCATGAGGCTGTAGGGCTAATGGTATGATGAACCTGGCCCTAGGCCGGCCCCTTCCCTGGCACCCCCTGCCAAAGCACCCTTGGGAACAGGCCCATCAGCCTCACTGTTCCCGGAAGTACAATTGCCCTAACTGATGATTACCTTAGGAAACCTCCTTTTGAAGAAGTAGCTGGACCAACCAACCACTTAGACCAAAGGTTCAGCACAACAGGCCAGACAGATGGGTCCAGGATGAAAGGCCTGAGTCCAAGGATGCTTTGGGGAAAACAGGATGAACACTGCCAGGCGCTAAAAAGTGTGATGTCTGCCCAAGGAAAGGACAACAGCAGGGGGTTCCCACGTGGACCAGCTTTCATTTTGCCTCCATAAGCCCTGGTATGCTGGGAAGGACGTCCACCTGGAGGCTGGAGACAGCTCCTCAGAGAGCCAGAGCTACCCTTGATTCCTGGGAGACAGAGAGCGAAGCCCTCTGGTTGGATGCCTACAATTTGGCTCCCCAGCAGCATTTCTAAAAATGAGCTGCCCTCCCTAGGAAAGGTAGTAAGTAGTAGCGAAGCATCTCCCACAGCCATGGTAGGTTCCATCCCTGAGAAGCTGCCATATTAAGTGAGCTAAAGGAAAAGCAGTGCTCAGTACCCCATCTAAGAAATGGGGGTGCAGAGTGAACGGAACCTGATTGTGCAAGGCTGGCCTGAGCATGAAAAGTGATCGGGGGTAGGTAGAGGGATGCGTCTAATGGCAGCACCTCTGGCCTACTGTTGGGACAGAAGAGGTATTTTTTGCAACCAGGGCTTGCCTGGTTACTTCCAAATCATACCTCATGCACCGGCTGCCATCACTACCTTGGGGGTCAGGACTGCAGCCTAAGGGAGCCAGTGAATTGATACCTGCACACAAGGAGGCTTGGTAAGTGACATGAAAGTGCCTTGGAAATGTGTGTGTCTGGATCGAGTGTCTTGCACTGACCCACCACACCAAAATCCCTCAAGGGTGGAGAGCACAAGATATCCAGAACAGAGGAAAGAGGCTGGAAACCTAAAACACAATTTGCAAATTCTCACCACCTCTCTTGCTAAAACTCCTGTTCTTGATCCATTTCCGTGAACAATGAAAAGAATCTGACTTGCAAAAGCAGCAGAAATATTTTGGTTAGAGTCAAGAAATGTTCTGACCATCATGTTTCCCTAAGCAGGAAAACAGGGCAGATGGCAAAGCGCCTGTGCCTGCAGGCAGAGGCAGGGGCAGGGCTGGCCTGAGCAAGGCTCTTGTCTGTAACTCCACTGCCTGACAGACAAGAGCCTTCCTATGAAGCTGGAGACACAGTAAGTGACTTGCTGCCACATGAAAGGCCACGCCTGGCACTGCAACCAGGGACAGGCTGCATTCTCTTTACCCAATGTCCATCTGTGCCAGGCTCCAGTTTGTCAGTTTCCCTTCCACCAACCCAGAAACTTCTCTAGAAAATGTAGCAAGTGCTCCTCCTTAGAGCTGAGAAGTTCCACACCTACCATAAGAACTTGAGAGCCACTCCATGTCCATAAGAGAGGAGACCAGGCAGCAAAATCCTAGAGGCACTTCTGTACCAGAGGGAGCCCGACAAGTCTAAAGACAGCAGCCACCCAGGGACAACTCTCTTCTGTAGCCCTCACCTGATTCTCAGAGATGAGCAAAACACAGCTTCACTGAGAGTAAGCAGCACCCAGTTCCTGAAGTATACAGTGGCTTCCTGCCTCTCCAGGGCCTGCCAGGCTGCTCAGAGCACAGCACATCTCCCTCCTGCCTTTCCCCAGGCCTGGCCCGACTGCGCTGGGACAGCACCACAGGCTTCACCTCCTGACTCTGTCCTGGAGGGCCAGAAACAAGGCTGGGCCCTGTGGAAGGGGGTCACGGTGCAGCGCTGCCAGCAGCCCATGGCTGGTCCCGCCTCGCCAGCATCATGGGACAGCGCTGTGTGGAGCTGGCCACCACCTCCCAGCTCAGGCAGGGGGGCAAGTGCCTTGCCTTCTCCGAGCTGCATGTGATCCTCACCTCCCCCACAGGGCTGATGGGGCTTCACTGAATCAGCATCTGTGGAGGCGCTTGTATTAAGCCATCCTTCTCCAGCCTTACCTGCCCCTTCACAGCGGACACTGTGCTCCTGGCTATGCACAGCAACAGTAGCTACTCCCAACTTCTGTTCATATCAAGCTGGCAGCAGCTCACGTCCCTGGCACCTCTCCGATGTGCTGAATGGGAGCTCCCTTCAACATGCCTAGAAACCCCTCTGAGAGGAAAGACCATGCTCAGCAGAAAGCGCCACAAACACCCGTGGGTTTGTTCCTCACCCCAACTACACTGGGCATTCCTCAATGCGACCACCATGTCTGATTCACCTCAGTCCCCTACGCCTGGCATCAGGCCCGGCCCAGAGCAGTCCACCCCCAAGGGTAGTCGGTTCAACCTCCCTTAGTAGCTGGCAGCCTCTGGAGACGAGAGGTCAGCATCTCTTCTTCTCTGAGGCCTGCTGGCCACAGGCCCAGGGCATGTACAAAGGAAGCAATCTGCTCCACAGAGCGCTGCCGCCATGTGACTTGATTCTGAAGCAAGGGGCAGTCCGTCCCCGCCTCTTTACCTTCATATTCTGAGGCCCCAAGCCGACCTTAGATTGGAGACAGAATGTTTCATTTATCCTGCCCTTGTACATGATCTTTAGGATAGCAGGAAAAGAAAAAGGCTGAAGAAGGAAGATTCTGTCAAGCTCTGTCATGTCAAAATAAAGGTGGGGCGCTCACTGACTACAAGTCAGTGGTCAGACCATCTGTCCAACTCTCTGGGCCTCTCTTCCCCACTCTAACACCAAAAGTACCTTGACCAAAAAATCCAGACTAAACTGAAAGGTATAACTTAGAACCACAGACATGGTCCTCCATAGCCAGTGACATTTCTAATAAGCATTTGTGATCACATTACCCTCCTGAGCACAGCTGTCCAATGGCTCCCTACTGCCCAGAGAATCCAGTCCACGCTCCTGAGCCTGGCCCTCCTGGTCCTTTATGAGCGGACCCCATGAGCCTGTGTGACTATGCAGAAGTCCTCATTGTTCAACACAATCTCATCCGTCATCTGGTCCTGTTTCCCTTCCTGGAGAACTGCAGCCTCCTCCTCATCTAAGCCCGACTCCAGAGCTGCCTGCCTTCAGAGCTTTCCTGATTCCCCCTCAGCCCTTCTCTTTGAGACCCTACCACCCTGGACTTCTCTGAGCCCTGTTCTGTACGATGTTACTCAAAACCTAAGTTCCATATGGGCAGGAATTACACCGTCCTGTGCATTGAGCCAGTGCTCACACAGAGGAGATGCTCAGGAAGCCTTTGTGGGGAGGTGGATGGGTCCAGGCAGCAGATGGGAAGGAAGTTTCCAGTCAAGATTAAGCCAAAGGTAAGTCATCTCTATAGTCTAAGGGGTTGGCGAAATACAGCCAACTTTGGCAAAATACTCCCTACTTTGTAGGGGTTGGCAAACTACGGCCCTGTGTATTTGTAAATGAAGCTTTATCAGAACACAGCCATGCTATCTATTTACGTAGTGTCTCTGGCTGCTTTTGTGCTACAGTGGCAGGGCTGAGCAGCTGTGGCAGAGACCACATGGTCCATAAAGCCTGAAATGCTCACTATCTGGCCCTTTACAGAAAAGATTTGTGGACACAGGTCTAAGGCGGTGCTTCCCATATATTTTCACATTTCACCTCTTTAGACGTGAGATTTGTGTAGCCTGCTGATTAACAGTGAAGGCTGCTTGCAGCTAAGAGACACCTGGCCCTGGAGCTCTGGCCACCCAAAGGCTGACTGGATCCATGTCCACAGCTGCCACCTGAGCTGCAGTCCCCAGCAGAGCTGTAGGAAACAGGTGCAGAAACTCACGCTGGCCTTCAACTCTCTGTCCATTTCGAAGCAAAAGTGGCAGCACTGGGACAGACAGAAAACTGACACCAAAAACCAATCCTCTGGTCACAAGTTCATGGTCCTTTCCGTCCTTCAAGAACTTGGGAAAGAATATCCACACCTTCCCATGGGCTACAGACTGTTCCACAGACGCTGAATCCAACAACCTCCAGCCCTTGCTTAGGTTAAAAATGAACAAAACCGGATTAACTTTTTGCCAAGCAAAAGGCCTCAGTATGAACGACCACCCGGTACCTGTGACTCCTGGCTGGAAAGCCCAGCCCAGCAGAAACTCGGAAAGGGTGAAGATGCTGATAGATCACAAGCCCCTCGCCACCCACCACCAGTGGAGAAGCCGGAGCGCTCCAGCATGATGGAGTGTGGCCCACCAAAGCCCCATTTCCTAGCCCAGTGGAGATGGCCCTTGCTCCATTCGACCTCCTCTGTACCCTGTCAGTATCTTCCTCCACTCCCCTGCCTTCCCCCGTCCTGGTCAGAGACACCATTGTTCTCTGATCTTGCCCACTGAGCAGTGGTCCAGAAGTACTCCAGCAGGTCCCCTCCCCTGGATGGGTGCTGTTGTTCCTTGGCCCAGGGTTGGGGGCCATCATCTTCCCATCCCTACCCAGTCCGGCAGAGGAGTCTGGCCTGTGAGGAGATGTCATTCCTGCTTCTCCATCCCTCTGCTGCTGCACTCCATCAGCCTCCCTCATGCCTCACCTGGCCAATGGCAACAGCCTCGTGCTCATCAGTCCCCCCTCCTGACTCTGGTCCTTGGCTATCCAACTGTCCCAATCAACCCTCTGGAACTTACCATCGTGGAGGATGGTCATCACTGAAGGACACACCACCCAGGGCCATTCAAGAAGTGACTGCAAACTGTGTGTCCCACCTGCCACTTCACTCTTAACCATCTCAGGTCCGACGGCAAGGCCCTTCACGCTCTCCAAGTGGGCACACTCTCTCTGTGCATGCCAGGCCCGCCTCTGACTCCCCTCCTGGGGATCCCCTGTCTGTCTCAGTGGGAAGCCTATAGATCTTGGTAAATTACTCAGTAAGCACTTCTCTCCTGAGGCCTGGCTCCTCTGCTGCCCTCGGCAGGAGACCTGGGAATGGGTCTGCCAGCCCCCAGCCCAGAGCCGACAAGGAGGAGCCCTAGCAGGGAGGGGGAGACCCGCTGAAGCCTTTCTGCCTGCACAGAAGAGGATGACTCTCCTTCTGTTCAAATCCCCTGAGCCTCCTTCTTCCCCTCCCTGTACTCTCCATCTGGGTCAATGATTTCACCTTCTACTCAGTTGTCTAAGCTGCAAATTCTGACATTTTCTCCAACTGCTCCTTCTGCCCCAACACAAAGCCTGGTAAGAAGCAGTAGGTGACAGTGAATGTTTTCTCTCAATAAATCTACGTGCCCAAGAAGGGAGACACGGTCTTGGCAGCATCACCAATCACATCAGAGTTCGTCCAAACTGACATTCCACAGAATTTCCTCTTTGCCATCCACACGACCGGCTTCTTGCTGGAACATGCCAATTACAGGGAGCTCATGTCGCACCTCAGCTGCTCTCTCAAGGCCGCGTCTGTCATCGCGGGAGGTGTATTTTAGCTCAAATTGCCCCACTGGCTTCCCATAATTGTCTTTTACCCTTTGGAACCACATACAATAAATAAACATAATCCCTTAAAAAATACCTGGCGGGAGTGCCCACGTTCTCTCCAGTCTCCTCTTCACCAGCCTTAACCTGGTCCTTCCATCTCATTTCAAGGTGCTTTCAGCTTTCCTGAGTTCCCCAGGTACCAATTTCCATAGGTCTTTGACCTCCCAGATGATGCCTACCATATTCCTTTAACATAGCCTCTGCAGGAACGAGGGGTTTTAGAAAGCTGAGACTTCCGAGAAGTCCCATGACAGAAGAATCCAAGGGGATCCCAACACCAGATTGCTCTGGAAAATGTGTTATTGTGACCGTGATCCCATGGGTTAGAGTACATGTTTGAAGGCCGAGCCAGGAACGGAGGATGTGGCCAAAAACCAAAATGTAGATGAGGCTGAACATAACATACTTCCAACAGTACATCCGCTGTCCGCCTTCCCAGCCCTGAGGAGCTCTCCAAGTGGCAATTAACGAATTTGCACTTTATTATAGGGTTCAGTTACAGCATGAAATGATGATCTGTAGAAACTGACCCCAACTGTGTAGCTGGCAAAAAAAAAAAAAAAAACCCAGGCTGCCGGGCCCAGAGCTGACCGTTTGGCCACCTTGTCCAGTAGCACACTGACAAAGGAACCAGAAACATAATGAGCCAGGAAGGCTGGATTTTAGGGGATTGAGGAAGGATCAGGGAGACATGGGTTGGTTTCTGCTTGGTTTCAAGGCGCACAGGGGATAGCCCAGAAGCCTAGAGGAAAGGTGAGCAGAATACATCACAGAGAAGCCACTGCTGCCAAGGGGGCTTGGGAGACAGAACAGACGTTGGTCTGCACTAGCGACGCAAACCACCTGCTCAGAGCACAGCCTCAGACTGGGTGAGCGCCGCCACTCACCGCACTGTAATTTGGGGCAGATCACCTTATCTAAGCATCTGTTTCCTCATCTGTAAAAGGAGAAAATTTCTAATTCCAGTTGTGGTGAAATTCAAAACTAATTCCTCGGAAAGGGCTGCTGTTAAGTCTAAGAACAGTCTAAGAAATGTTATTTCTTCTGGTGGTTAAAAACTAGTTAGGAGCCACAATGTTTTCCCACAGACGAGCAGGGTGGTTTGGAGAGCTCCCTGGGCTCCGCTCTCCCTGTCTGCAGGGTGGGAACGACAATCTATGCACCGCGCTTCTCCAAGGGCTACCAGTGCAGCAAGCCATGAGATGACAAGTGGGAAAGGGCTTCAGAGAGGACTGTGTTCTACGAATACCAGGCGCTCATTCTCCCTGACACAGTCATGATCTAGAACACGACAACCTGGGTTTCAAAGGTTCCTTTTTCCTGTTCCCCTCCAGGATTACAGCAGGGTGCACAGAAACATTGCCAAGTGCCAAGAAAGATGATGACTTGGGGTGGATGAGGAATACCTTTCCCTGAAAAGGATCCCGCAGCCATCCCTGCACCCACCCATGCCTAAGCAGAGACCCAGCTGTCATTCATTAGCCAAGGAGCTGGTAAAGTGGTTGACAGCAGCAGAAGAATCCGACACGTTCAGCAGGGTGGTTCAAAGGCAGCAATTTAGAGACCCCAAAGCCATCCAAGCAGGGCTTACCATACACGGGTCCAACTTAGAGGAAAGACAGCAAACTCCAGGCTGGCAGTCTGCCCTGAGGCCTACTCCAAGGAAAACTCCTAGCAATGACCACTGACCTCTGCAGTCTGCCACCACCCATCTCTGCTGAGTACTTGTCCAGGGACACCCCCTTGTACTTATAGCCCACACCTGGGCTGCTGCCCCTCTGTGTTCCTCTTCCTTGTACCCAATGAGCCAAAGCCTCACCAGCCTGCCTTCAGAGTCTGGCTTCAATTGTTGAAGACATCCTCATGACCTATCTCAGGCCAGGCAGAGAACATGCACTCAGAAAATATAAGCTAAGTGAAAACACATACCTCAGATTTCACTGAAATTCAGAGAAAAACAAGCTTGAGATAAAAATGCTTCTTCCTCTGTTGATACAGATGCAATGCAGCCGTTCAGTCTGTCCTTCCAGCATGTTAGATCGTTCTTCACAACCAATTTAAATGAAAAGAGCCCTATTTTAGGCCAGTTTATCTGATCTGGAGGCACCTCAAGTCAGAAGGCCTAGCTTCCAGGAGAGCCCGTCCTGTCAACCCCAGCCTTGTAATCCACAGCAGATGGAACAGAAAAAGCTTTAGAACAGAGCTAGGTTCCATGAATGGTTCTAGCACTTAACTTGGAGCATCAGTTTCTTTTGTAAACTAGGGATACCACTACTTCCAAGAAGGTAGTTGGAGATTTCAGAAGAATGTCCAAATGCCCAGTGCACAAGATACAAATGGTGGCATGGTGGCATCTCTCCTTCCCCTTCCCTTCCTACTTCTTCAATCTACTGCTGCCCCACATGACCTAAACTGAGGGCTACTGTTCACCTCATTACTTGGGGCATTTAGCCGACACCTGAATGCAGAGACCTTTAGTCCAGTGCGAAACTGCCTGGGCAAATGGTGGCTATCTTCACCCTGCCCACCAGCAGGATGGCACAGTTCATTTGCAGAAATGGCAAAGTTCTGCCAAGAGAGACCAAGACCCTCCTCAGAAGGAGTAATTAATTAGAATGTTAACGACTGATGAGTCAAGGCAAAAAAGGAAGTCCTCCCTCAATGCTGGCTGACCGAGGCAAAGACTCCACCAAACAGCCTCCCCGGGGGGAATGCACTACCTTTTGCCAAGACATTAGCTAAACAAGTATTTCTTAGATTTAAGAAAAACCTCTTGACTACAAGGTAAATCTTATTTGCCTCCTTAAAGGTAACAGTCCTTGTCTATACACAGTTTTTATAAACTTGGAGCATCTGAGGGCTCCAGTCTATGTTTCCCACTTAGCTCACCTCTTACCAACAGCCAAGGATGCATCTGACCACCTTTCTGCAGAGGCCCCCGGAATCTTTGTAGACACACAAAGGAATGGAAGGTAAGACGTGCACCCTCTGTTTAATCCAAAAGCACCAATTTCATCATGTCCCCATTTTCCTCTTATCGAAAAGAAACTTCCCAACTGTGTCCAGATAGATGGATAAGTAAATGGATAGACAAAAAGAAAGAAGAATAGATGGGCAGATACGTTTTCTGTAAGACTAATAGGCAGAAGGGAGGCCTCATGTGGTGAGGAGTGCAGATTTTTCCCCCAGAAGTATCAAAGCAAACTAGAAGAGACAAGCTATAGGAGTGCTTTTCAGAGAAGCATCCTAGTCGACAGCCTTTTAAGCACACCAGTTTCCTCCTTTCCTTTCTGTGCTGTAAAGGAACTTGCTTTCCACCTACTAAACACGGGTAAGCCCTGAAGGTTACATTCTGGAGGCAGCTATAACCAAACACCTTTTTTAAAAATTATTAATGCACTGGTTGGACACTTGGACTCAGCAGGTAGATATTCTAAGATCAGCCCTTATGAAGTTCTAAGCACCCTTAAATACCACCCTCCCCAACGCAAAAAAAAAAAAAGTATTTACAAACCCTTGGCAGCAGATTGGCTGGTAATTTAACTACTGTAACAGACGCATGAGCAATTTCCTGAAGCTTGGATCCACAGCAACGCCACCACACTAGCTCTCACCAGGTCCTTGGGGTGCGTTTCTTGTCTAAGCCCTAGATACCAGGAGTCCTCTCCCAAAGCCTGGCAGTGAAGCCTATCAGCACCAATGAACCGACACAGCTCCACCCTGAGCAGGCCATGCACCTGCCTCTCCAACACCTATTGGCACAGCCTCGCCCCCCTCACATTCATCCTCACCTCGGCCAACCATGGTAACAACACTCAACATATTACTGAGTACGTACTATGCACCAGGTACTGTTCAAAACATATTATGTGTATTAACTCATCTAATTCCTGAGCCCCATGGGAATGTGCTGGAAGGAGAGAAATTCTTTGGCCCAGATTCCCACATGGTTTCTAGTCTCTATTTCTAGCTGTGCTGTAAAGCTTACATAACCTAATTTGCATTATGGTACTATTTTTAAAAACCTCCGAAGATTGCTGCTTCAAAGCATCAATGGAATCTGTTAGTTCCTACCTAAAATGATAATGTGGGAAAGGATATCTATTCTTACAACCAACTCAACTGGAATTATTGACTTAAAACAGTCTTTCGGGAAGAGGCTATTAAGGAAGGAAGGGACTCATTCTTATATAAGTACTAGCTCTGTGCTCTGTAAATAAGGGCTACAGAGAAACACATCAATACTGAAACCCACCTCAGCAGTAGTCTCTTGGCTCTGCTGTTGTTATCTATTTACCACCCGTCTCCTTTTCAGGACTCCTAATAACACTGAGGAATCTGTGTTCACTGGACAGCATGGCGTCAGACTGTACAGAGTATGAGTTTGAATACGCACAGCCTTTCTCATTCAGGGATTCAGAGATAGCCACACCCTCTCTCGGGAGGCACTGGCATAAGATGAATGGGAATTAGGGGAAGACCATTCACAGAGCAGGTTGTTTTCAGCTTTAACTGCTCTTAATGACCCTGCTGTATAGGGCTCCGGATTGCTTGAAATCTAATTCCTGGGGTGGGGGCGGGGAAGGCAGGGGGGATCTCCTTAGTTCTTTCCCCTAACTCACTACTGAAGATTTTCCTCCAGTTATTAATGAAATCTAGGAAACAGGGAAATTACGGTGAATGATTGATTATAAGGGTGAAACTTTCTCATTTGTCATTAAAAAAATGTGCTCCGTGTTTAAATTAACCACCTTGTCCTTTGCTCTACTATAAAAACTAACTGGAAAGGCCTGGAGTATTTGTTATTCATTTCATTACATTCACATATTGGACCGAGGTCCATGAACATAAACCAGAGTAGGTTTCAGGCTCTCAAAACTGCCAGGGAAATATTTTAAACAAGTGAATTTCCAAGTGACACCTATTTTGGTGATGTCAGAGGGCCTACATTATTAAATAGTTTACAATTAAACTAATGACTGGGCTAATATTCTTTTTTGCCACAGTTAACAAAGTATCTGGTTCCCAAAGTAAGATATTTGTAATAGGCCCAATTCCAACAACAAGGAGACTGTCAGAATTAAAATGCTTCCACTGATCACAGCCTCTGTTCACTTGTACCCAGAAGAGGACCTGGCACCTAATAGGCAATGGGCTGCTTCAGCACGACTGGATCACACTCAGTACCAAGTCAGCTATACCTCGTACAACCTTTTATAGATGCCAAAGCCACATTAAATGTACATACAGATTCTGCGTGGAAAAAACAAGAGTTGTTCCAGCAACTTTAAAGTGAGTAATCAAAAGAAACTGCTACTTAGAAACAAATATGAAACATGAAATTCATTTTAATCTACATATATCAAATACAGCCTTAGCATAGAACGTCTAACACAATTAAATGCATTTATGGGACACACCTAAATGAAGCAAATCTTTATTAAAATATCTGCCTAACCCTCACATCTTTACATGAGCTCCATGATGGTTGAATAAGATGGGAAATAAATAATCTAGCTACCTAACCTGGAAAAGACAGATGGATTGCTTTAAGTCTATTCGGTCTCCGCAGACTCGATATTCACCACCCCGAGTCTTGCTGAAGTTGGTTCTGCAAATAATTAACTTAGCTCAGTCAATTATACACTTTTCCATAGTTACCATCATATTTTGTTTTTTTTTTTGTTGTTTTTTTTTTTCATTTTCTATTGCTTTTTTTTTATGGCTTCTTGCTGTTGTTGTATTAGGGCATACAACACAGACCAGAGACTTTCATTTCTCGGAGAAGTTTCTCCCCTTGAGAAATTGGCACTTTGATCCTCAGCTTGTGTAACAGCTTACACACACGGATCCCACCAGCACTGGTACCAACCTTGCTGCTCAGGAAATTCCACTGCTTTGGCCAAAAGAGTGCCCTGTCATTAAAATCTTCTTAGATGAACTGTTCCTATCACTGAATTCTTACATTTAAACAGGTATGTGTGTGTAATTTACATACATGTTATATCCTAAGTTTTTACACACACACACACACTTAGTGTAAGTGAAATGTCTGTCTTGAATAAAAAGCAGTTACAAGGGTATTAAAACAAATGTTGAAAAATAACTATTTTACATTTAGACCATACAATTTTTAAAGGTAATGTGATGACATATGACCTAAGAGATCAAATACATCATATATGATTGTCATATATGCATGTTGTGTTAATTGATTATTTTTCTCTTTAATCAGAAAATAAAAGAGCTTACCTTTGTATACTGAGATCACAGCTTACAGTCACTATATCTCAGCCTATTTTATACAAGTGATATGGCTACGAAGGTCCGAGGAGAACGAGAATAAAGTGAGATAAACGTGCTGAAAACTGCTTAAAAGTATTAACCTGAAATACACAGAGGGTCCAACACCAGTTTTAAAAATACATTAACGAGGTATTCCTAGCTCTTCAATTAATAACGGTGGCTGATTCATGATTTTCAAACATACACCCAAAATTTAAAAAAAAAGAAAAGAAAAGAAAAGGCGAATACCAGCAAAATCTCTCAGTGGTTGGTTCCCCAGGCTAACAATTTGAGAGACACTACAAACGACTTCAGAACTATGTAAACTCAACTCCTTACTTCACCACCCATGCACTTCATCTAGTCAGCATGAGGTATGTTGGAAATCTACTGGACCAATTACCTTGCACAAGAGATGGGGTACTCCTGCAGCCTGAGGAAACACAAGCTGCAAGCCACATCCCTGGCTAGTCATGGGGCCAGTCCCCATGCAGAGGATATGGCTTCAAGGAGGACCCCTGTTTCTGAGAAATTATAACAACACTAACTGACGCAGTCAGGAATGTAACTATTTATATGCTAAAAAGTGTAAAAACTGTGAAAACATAGCACAGCTCACACGCAAATTTTAAGCTCTACACTCATCTATAAACTCCCTGACAAGAAACTATGCTAAAAAGGGGTTAAGTACAGATATTGCTAGGTTTCCAAAGGAAAAGTTTTAAAACAGACACCGTGGCTTTGAACAGAGTATTGCTCTTCTTTAAAATGATCAGTCATTGCTTTCAAAAAGAAGGTGTCAGAGTGGTGTCTGAAAGCTGGATAGCCTCAGGGTGTCACATTGCTCTTAAGACCAAGACATAGAAATTGCCATTTCAAGCCAGACAACCTGATGGTTCTAGAAGTCAGAGAAGAAATCTTGAGGGCCCAAGTGAATAATAAATGGTGCGACGCTCAGAGGCTGGCAATAGGGGCTGTCAATGAAAAAACCACCTACAGTGGAGAAAAGAGCAGAGAAGCAAAACTTTATGTTAATTTCAGGCAATTTGGTGAAGCCAAGAGCTTCATTTATATTTCTCTGCTCTTTCAGCTGTAAGTGGAATTTTCATTACAAAATGGAAGGGTGGGAAGGGCAACAGGTGGAGGGGGGGAACGCTTAATTCATTACAGAATTTAAACAGTTGAACTTGCATGGTTACCACTTCTAACAAAGGACTGACAGCTCGATTATTTTAAGTAAAGCAGAGAAATGTAAAAGTTTGCAGCAACTGGGCAGGTTTACAACATGGTTAGTAACTTCCAACAAACAACAAAATTAAAAAAAAAAAAAGACTTGGTAGAAACCATTTGAAATGACTGCCATCATGTTGGAAAACAGCACAGCTCCCTTTTCACCATTACAGAGGGCATGAGTTATGAAGCAGAGTCAGCTACTTCAAAAGAATTTTCTAACGAGAAATCTCTAGAGAGATTCCAACGTGGAATCCAAATTTGATGACCAATTTCAAATAACAATACAGCTGCAGCTGCCAATTAATAGTATTCCAAAGACAATGAGGACTACTGTAAAGATTTAATTAATAAAAACTGGACACTATCAGCCATGCTTTTTCTTCTCAGTGATGGCTCTGTTTCATCCATAGGTCAGCAAAACGCATCAATGAAACATGAAAACTCCCAGCTGAAATGGGCCCTCTTGTTTATGTCTAGCCACTAATGCACAGGATGAGAATGATAAGTTACAGCTATTTCCAGCAAGTGATGAGGTTTTATTAAAGTATCACCCACCACTAATAAAGACAAAAGACCAAGGAGAAGAAACAAACTAATCATTGTGTAATATATATCTGAGCAGTGACACTAACATTTGTTGTACATTGCCCGTTTCACCTTTATTTAGTGGCCCCAGAGAAATTTGGTACATAAATTTGCCATATTTTGTGAAGCCCATTCTCATGGATGGGCCCTGTCAAGTTCCCAAAAGCAGAATTTAACAGGGAAAACGAAAGCTAATTCATACTAAAAACAGACATTTTTAAGACATGGTACCTTATAAATATTGACAGGGGACCACACTGCTGCTCCTTCATGGGGGTGAGTACCTTAATGAAACCATTTACCTTCTAGTAACATCATTGGCTTTCCAAACAAGGTGAGAATGCAAGTGGAGGACTTATGTCTGCACCCTTTACAGAACAGCACAATGTTACCCACTGATCCATTTCCACCAGCATCATCAGGTGTCTTAAAAAGAAATGCTGACCCATGGCTGAAACCTGTCACTTTTCACAGCAGCACTCAACAAGAACTGGGACAATTGAAGAGCAAGTTTTTATGGGGACCCTGTTGCTGCTTTAGATTCTGATGTAATTGAAGAGGAAAGGAGACCCTTCAATGAATCCCAGCAAAATCGCTAATCTTCTATCTGCATGAAAAAAGCCAGGGAGTGAACACAATATCTTACAGAGTGAAGAAGGCCACAAGAACAAGAGAGGGTGATTGATTGATTAATTTATTATTTTTAAAAACTTGGAAATTCATAAACTAGGATAATCACATTCTCCTTCCCCATCTCTGGGTAGTGCCATCATTTTAATAAGCGATGCTCGAATAACAAAATGGAACCTTTATCATGGGGATGCCCTTGTACAACAGGAGGACAAAGGGCTTACAAAGTAAGTAGACTGGCTCAAACTAACAATCACCTTTGCTTTGTTTTAGCAGTTTGCTTACAAGTGAATGGGCTTCTAGGGCTAAGTTATTAGTTTTCAATTCCTTGTAATTTGATACCAAAACATATCAAAAATAATAAGCTAAAACAATATTCAAACCCATATTTTATTGGCTTTATTACACACTTCAATATTTACAAAGTTAAAGTTTAAATGAAAAGTCTCTATTGTATTAAAAAAAATAACTACAGCCCAAATTAAAGTGCCCTGGGGCAAATACATATCAATCAACTAAGAATCAGTGACTGCATCAGGAACCAGGCAGTACTCTGTGTTACAACAAAGCAGTTTATTTGTGATCCGTGTTTGAGACTCTATACATCCTTCACAAATTTAATTTTACATAATCTGATACGTCTCTTAAAACTTAAACTTTGAACTGCTAGACTTTTATTTCCCTAGAACAGAAGGGCTGGTATAAGTTATTTTCCAGAAATGAGGTACCGTTTTCACAGAACTGGTTTCTTTTTTTTTTTTTTTTTTTTTTCAAGTTTTAGAGAACTAAATTTGCATTTGTTAAAATCAAAAAGTAGGAAAGATGTTCTTTACAAATAATTTTGATCAAGTATGTGTTCAAAGAAAGCAGGATAAAAAGGCTTTTTCTCTAACATTCTGTATTGTACTGTATTGTTGTTCAATAGGAATTAGCTTCTGTCATTTGCTAAAAGAATGAGTAGTGGGGAACAGGATATGTTGGAAATTTCATAACGGGTAACAGAACCATTCTCTTGGGTAAACCTACAGAGAAAAGAAACGGAGAGGACTCCAAATAAGTTGTAATACTCCAATAAAAATTTCAGGTAAAAAAATATCTGACAGTAATTATCATTAACCTTTTCCAGATCAGTCAGCCAACATGTATACCATTTTGCAAGAGGCCCACAAATCACTCACAGATCTATTTTTAAATTGCTCTTAATATTTTGATAAATAATATTTTCCACTCTCAAAATCAGGATGGCTACATCTAGGAAGCAATTTCATTGAGTGAGCTGCCATGAATTCTGAAAATCAAAAGCAATGCTATTGAATGATGTTCTAAATTGACTGTAGAAATCCATATTGGTTCTCAATGTGGCATATCACATATTCCAGGAGAAACGGGTTGTCAAGGTTCAAAGCATAGCTTTCCATGCGGACCTCAGCTCCAGCTGGAGCCATGGCCAGGCATTTATTTAACTTCTTAATGGCTATGGCCAATATTAGCATGGCAAATCTGGAAAGATTAATTGCTTTCTGAATTTGTAATTAATACGTTCTTGTGGCCTCACAAACTTCTGCATACTCAAGCATGATTTGAAATCTGCTCCTATCCCTATTCTACTGTTTAACCTACGGAGAAATCACAAAGCAGCAACAGCAGGTGTTCAAGAGCACCAGATGACCAGAGGGAGACCACCCCACATGCAACAGCTTCACAAAGGCCAAAGACATATTTACCTCACAGCCAAATAAAGCATCGTTTTAGTAGGTTTGCATCACAGTAACATTTAAAAACCATATCTTTTATGTGAAAAATGGGGGCATCAAATTTCACCAGCTTTGGAAGTCAGTTATATGGCACATGGGAAAGAGGAGCTTCTGATGTGGGGGCTCAGAGGCCACAAGGTGAAAGTGTAATGTTAAAGGAGGAAAGGGAAGAACAAGACAGAAAAAAAGACCGAGGAAAAACAGCAATGTAACTTAGAATCTAGATACAAAAGTATTTTCAAAGGAAAAATCAAACTCTAGCAAACCTTTACTGAAAAATCTGAAACTTACTGTATGTCTAAAAGAAAGACACAGATTTAAATATCTGCCCCAAGCAGCAGATGCGCTGGCGCTTATACAAGACATAGTACAGTGAGTCTAGTGAGCCAAAATGTATTCGGATAAACGGACCAGACCTAAATCACAGAGAGGATGAGGTGGTCAGGAGACCCAGAAGCCAGCTGAATAGTTAAAAGCAAATGGCCGAACCCAAAGGAACTAGAGAGTTTGAATTTAGAAGGAAATCTGGGTAAGCTTATTATTGCATTAGTCTCCAATTCCTAGTTACCCAATATGGCTCAGTTCAAAATATGGGGAAGCCTTGACCACACCTGAGTGTGCCAGAAGATTTAAAGGATGTAGCTCCAGGCTCTGCACTTTGCCTAAAAGATTATTTGCTCCGAATGTTTGACCCTCGTAGCTTCACATCTTTCTAGGATATAAACTATTTTAATGGTCAAACTGGTCAAACTATTCACTTTCTACTTATATCCAGTTACAAAATCAGATGAAGCTTCAGTTCAGCAGTGTTTTAGGAACACAATTTGCATCCAAACAAAAATGGCAAAGCAGATGTGTGAAGAGAAAAAGCACAACGCGAAGGTCTGAGGCTCATGTAGAGGACTAACGCTGAGACTGGCAATATGGGAAGAGCCTTTCCCTTCTGTGTGCATGCACACCCAGCCTGGGGCATGCTGACACACACACTCTTGCACATACACTCTCTCATGCTCTCCTCTCTCAATGACAACACCCTGCAGATGGCTGATTCTATAACATGTAGCACCTGAGTAGAAAAAAATGTCTAAGAGCATATCACTGACTCCAAACCTATTGCCTCCATTGCCACATAAACCTCATTCAAAAGTTATCCAAAGGGCCACTGGGGTTCATTTATGCATTTGCTTTTATTTTTTTATTTTAGAGGGGAGGAGAGAAACACCTATGATACTCTAGCATGTACTACAGACTTCCTGCAGTGAGCACTTAAGACTGCTGGTGAAACCCACTATCACTTCCTCTCTAGGGCCAATGATACCCATTTACTTCAACCCCAAAGCAAAGTTATGGAAAAGAATGAAGACTACAAATTTGAAGTAAACAGTTCCTATTCTTGACTTAAGTTACCCACAATTCACACGGTTCCAAACCAGAAACTTAAGTGTGGCTTTATAACTGGTAGGCAGCCAAGCTAGCAACTGGGTATGGCCCTTCAGTAGCCTTTGAATGGAGTATCAGTTGGCTGTAAGAAGAACTACTTAAAATATTTAATTTCAATATGGTCAGAAACAGGCAATTAGAACAAGCAGTCCTTCAATCAGGCAAAGCGGAGAGAAGAGCAACTCCAACCAAACCAAGAACCACAAGGTTGTGGCATTTTCAAAGGGAATTTAAGTTGGGTCACTAGAATGAATAAATCTGAGATCCTCCAATTAATTTACAAAAACCCTAGATAGAAACTGTGCTTTGGATTGCTGTGACAGTCGCTAAGAGGAGATATCAGTAAGACGGTGTACATACCATAGGCAGGGGCAGCTGTGCTGTAACCATATGGTGTTCCATAGCCTAGTGCAAAGAAGAAGGAGGCAGATCAGTCCAAGACCCAGGGCAATCATCACTGGCCCAATTCACAAGCACCACCTGCTCAGCACCCTAGGCCTAAAGGACTTCTTTCAGATGTGCGATGAATGAGAACCACTGCCAGAATGGTCCCAGTCTAGCCACTCTCTGTGTGCCTGCTTAAGATGTGGGAGCTCCTCACCATGGCCTACAAGGCTCTCCTAGATATGCTAGACTCTCCTACATCTCTTTCTCACTGCACTCACTGACCCCACATTCTATTTTAACTATCAGTTCCTTGTCTGTGTTCCCCACTAGAGTAGCAGAGACCTGGCCAACCTCATCCATCGTTGCATCATCTGAACCTAGCAGAATGTATCATATATATAGTAGCCACTCACTAAATATACTTTGTTGAACAAAAGAATACTTAAAACCACTCAAACTACCAGTTTCTCAAAGTTGGCAAACAGAACTTTCCAAGTCTCTTCAGAAAGTAGTGAGAGAGCAGGCTGAGGTCTCTATGGTCATTAAAACGGGCATATGAGTCAGGTCGTGAGCCCAAGGGCAAGGTCTATGACTTGCTGATATTTCAGTTTCTGGCCCAAGTACAGGGTCTCTCTGTAAATGCTGGTGACTTTGACATCAGCCTCTGGTACCTATGAAAAAGGCCCACATTATTAAGTAAAAGCTAGTACAAAGAAGTTTTTATACCATATTAGTAGGGATTAGAAATATTATCTATATTAACAGAAGCTACAATCTTTACTCTTTCAGTAAAAGAGCTTAGATATAGGTAATATATAAATAAAAATCACTTGGGGCCAGGTGTGGTGGTTCATGCCTGTAATTCCAGCAATTTTGGAGGCTACAGCAGGAGGACTGCTTGAGCCCAGGAGTTAGAGACCAGCCTGGGCAATATAGTGAGACCCCATCTCTACAGAAAAACAAAAAATTAGCTGGGCATGGTGGTGCATGCCGTAGTCCTGGCTACTCAGGAGGCTGAGGTGGGAGGATCACTTGAGCCCAGGAGGTCAAGGCTGCAGTGAGCCATGATCACACCACTGCACTCCAGGCTGGGCAACAGAGAGAGATCATGTCTCAATAATAACAATAATAACAACTTATTATTCATTTATTAATGAAAAAAATTTATAAAGTAGAACAAGGGCACAAAATCACCATGGCACTTTTACACAGTACCCAAAACAAATGGCGCTTTTTCACATTACAACTCCTTTTTTTTGTAACCATTTCTGCTATTCAGAATGATTTCGTTCCCTCCTTCTCTGGATTACCAACTGCAACTCACCCTTGAGACCAGGATCAATTATCACCTCCTCTACGAAGTCTCCCAGGCTTGCTGTTCTCTTTTGCCCAACCCATGTTACACTTGCATCATACTGCATTGTGTTTATTCAATTATCTGGTCCTACTCCAGGCAGTCACTGGGGCAGAGGCTAGGTCTTCTTTGAATGCCCAGTTCTAAATCTCCTGTTTGAGACAGTGCATTTGAATGTATGCTGAAGAAGTAAACTGCTTTTAGGGACCAACTGAAACAGTTCTGAGGGATGAAAAATTTTTAGTCTACAGTTATAAGTCATTTAACTCAGGCTGAGCGCTCACTAAATCACACACAAGAGGACATATGTAGCTGAAATAAGCAGTAGGAAGAGGAGACAGATCAGAGGCCAAAAAAGAAATTAATGCTTAAAAAAGGTTGGCTATCAAATTTATTCCAGAAAGCAGAAGCTGTTTGGCTAAGGCTGCAGTTCTAAGGATTATACCAAAACCTCCTTAAGAAGAAATGAGACCGTAAATACTAACTAGGTCATTAATCAGGCCATTGGAGTCCTGATTCTGACTTCACCTTTTACTAGCAAAGGCGTCTGTGAATGGCACCTGTTATTTAACCTCTCTGAGCTTCAGTGTTCTACGTACAGTAACTGAGTTGCCAGGGGAATTTAATTAAATAATACATGTAAATATACTGACAGCAGTCCCTGCTGCACAGAATATACTCTGCAAATGGCATATAACCTATTCATAATCTAAAGGGACCTAATCCGAATCTTTTCTAGGCTATAAAATAACTTCATTTTTAAAAGCTTTGGGAGACAGGCCTTTCAGGGAGGTCAATGCAATGACACAAGAGAGGAGTTACTATAGAGTAAAGCCTGGCAACCAGCGGCCATAAACAGTTCCTTTCATGATTACTGCCACTGGACCACAGCCATTTACCACTCTAGCAGGCGGTAAATGGTCCGCAGCAACAAGAGACATGACCAGATTAAGCCCCAATAGAACACATCATCAAAGACAAGAAAGATGGTTCATCTCTATAACCTGCCCATTATTGTGAATGAAAGCTTTGCCCTTTCAATAATACATTGAATAAGGCTAAAATTATTAAATATCAGTAGAAATAGTGAGACACACAGAAGACTGTCTTAATTTTAGACACATAAACTATATCACACCATAAGAAATTCATAATCTTTTCCTTTTTCCCCCCAGTGCTCCAGCTAAAAGTCCTAGGAGTTGAGATATCCTTGAAATATCACTCTTCTTTCTATATATTCAGTATATCAATTTTGCCTCCTTTATATTCCTCCCATCTGTTCTCTTCTTGTCTCCCCCTATCTTCTTCCCTGCCTCCAGTAGCAATACTATCAATGTCTCTTGCCTGAGTTAGTAGTCTTCAGTAGCCTTTTTTTAACTGAGGCATAATAGATGTACATAGTTCCAGAGTTCATGTGATAATTTAATATACCCATGTAATTTATAAAGATCAAATCAGTGAACTTAGGATACCCATCATCTCAAATATTTGTCCTTTCTTTATGCTAGAACCATTTGAATTCTTCTCTTCTAGCCAGTCTGAAATGTACAATACATTACTGTAAACTATATGCCTTCTAACTGATCTTGGCAATGCTCACACCTATCCCTACAACCTGTTCTTCACACTATAGAAAGACTAACCTTCACAAATAAAGTCTGATCTTGTCACTGTTCTCCTTAGAACTGAATCCATCAAGACTTAACACTGTGCTTTGGGTTCTAAGACCAAAATCCAAATAACGGCCTCCAGGTCTGGAACTGAGTCGTCCAGCTTTAATTCACATCATTCCCCAGTCTCTTCACTTCTGCCGCCCAGTGCTCTCCACATTCCACACATTTTGGACTTCTGCTTCTTCAGTTGAGCCAAATTCCCCAACAACAGCAACACAGGGTTTCTGCACATGCCGTTCCTTCTGTGTGCAACACTCTCCCATCCCAGTCTTCTTTGAGTTAACTCCTATTCATTCTCCAAAGCTCAATTCAAATGTCCCTTCTTCTGGGAAGCATCCAGGGACCCACTAAACTAGACCAGGTTCCTCTGTTACATGCTGTAATAGCAGCATGTCCGCATGTCCTTCTTTTTCATCGTACTCATCTCAGTTTCTCGTTGTTACTACTTGATTAATCTATGTCTCACCTTTCAGACTATAAGCTGCATGAGAACAAAATCGATGTCTGCTGTGTGCCAAAGCAGGCATACTCCTTGAGCAGTTCACCTACTAGGATCAGCTTCTAGAAGAATCACTCCAAAGCCACATCATAAAATTTCCCAAATGGCCTAGTCTTATTCTTTCTTAGAGGAAAGCACAAAGTGAACCCTTAGGGATGTTACCTAAAAAACAATGACTGGATAAGAGCCAATCTTCATGACAATTTCATCTTGATCAATATCTACAAGTGGTTTACTTGTCCAGTTAAAAGTACTATACTTTCAATATTGTGAAGAACTTGATTTTAATAAGACAGTTGGGTAATCTACTGTTAAAATGACATAAGAATTAGAAGGGAAGGCAGAGAGAGGACATCTCCCAAATCTTCTTTAAGCTATGTGGTGGAATGGAAAGAATATGAACTTTGGAAATGCAAACACCTACATTCAAATCCTTGCTCTGCGGTTTAGTGGTTGCTTCACCCTGAGCTAGCTGCCTTATCTCCTTAAATCCCAGCTTCCCTTCCTTGGAAAATAATTTCTACCTGACGAAACACTGACGAAGATTTAAAACAATTAAATTTAAGTAATTAAATTAAAAACAATTTAATAAGTAAAATTATTTACATGGAAATATCTAGTATATACAGTAAGCTCTGGATAAATGTTTCTTTTTTTTTTTTTCCTTTGTGTACTTCTTTAGTCTTTGATGGTTCCCAAACATTAAGTTTAGCAAACACTAATAATGCCAGGCTTCACCCTAATTAAGTAACCTCTTAGTAGTTTTTCTCTCCTGTTATACCCAACCTGTCATCTATGTCCTCAATGAATACACCCTGCTCAGACATCCACATTCTCAGTCTATGGAACATCCTTTAATTCCTTGTCAAAATACAGTCCCACAACCAAATGCAACATTGCTCATCTGTCATCTCCCTCCAGGTAGCCTCTCCTCACTCAGCAGATTCCAGGAGAACACCTATGACATTGTGTCAATTCTCTACTTTTAAATTTCTGTGTACCTTCACGCCTGTGTTTGTATTTCCACAAACCCTGTACAAACTCAGAAAATGAAGGGGATGCTATTCTTTGAATTTTGGCCCAGTAAAGGGGGCCAATCTCTTGCAGTTTGTACTATACCTGGAGCTATGTAGCCAGGAGCAGCTGTCGCCCCAACAAAAGCTCCCCTTGTTAGAGTTCCTCTTCCTCTGCCCCGAACAGCTTGGACTGCTGCAGACACAGCTGTATTCACAACACCCTTTGCCTGTTAAAATAACACATTTTCATTACTGAAAGAAATAAGAACCATCTTATTTCTTCTATCTTCTCTTCAATGCACAACCACTATGAGAAACTGTGAGCACGTGGGTGAGACCATGAGCTGTCTGTGATGTTGAACCTTCAATTTATCATCTGAAAAACAAAAATGATACCTACCTTACAGAGATGTTCAGAACATGCAAATAACTTTTCGCTTGAGTGTTACTCAGAAAGAGTTCATTTTCTACACCAAATTTTAGTAATCAATTTATAACCAAAGTCATTTTAGGCTTTACTAAAGTAATCATACACACTTGGCACCTAGGTTCCAAATCCATTAAATTATCTGCCTACAGGCAGAAAATATCTCAGCAACTAACTACATAGAATTAACTGCAAATCTGAGTGGGGCTAGTGGGGGAAAAACATAAAGGGCTAAGACAGGAGGACCAAAGATGAGGATGCCAGTTCCTGCTCTAAGTAACTGTGACCTCGGGAAGGTAATATGATTTCTTTAAGCCCGATTCCTCTGCTGTTTGTGTATGCATGTATCCACTATTAAATATCTTTTTTGTGTGTGTGTGAGACAGTCTCGCTCTGTCATCCAGGCTGGAGTGCAATGGTGTGATCTCTACTCAACTGCAACCTCCGCCTCCCAGGTTCAAGCGATTCTCCTGCCTCAGCCTCCCAAGTAGCTGGAATTACAGGCACCCACCACCATGCCTGGCTAATTTTTGTATTTTTAGTAGAGACAGGGTTTCACCGTGTTGACCAGGCTGGTCTTGAAATCCTGACCTCAAGTGATCTGCCCACCTCAGCTTCCTTTCAAAGTGCTGGGATTACAGGTGTGAGCCACTGCGTCTGACCCCATTATTAAATAAATAAATACCACTTTGAAAGCCCCTTCTTGCTCTAAAATATGGAAATCTCCCCACTAATTAAAAACGTGGATAATGATACCCACTTTGTTCTCCTTAGGGTAGAAAGAGTAACCGAGAATTATAAAATGAGAATAACGATACTTTGTTTTCCTTACTTTAGAGTAGAAAGAACAAGAGAGAACAAATATAAAAACATTCTAAAAGTACAACAGATAATACCGGGAGTAGCAGTAAACAAGACTGTTGAAAAACCCCTTTTCCAAACTGAAATTTTAACAAAATCAAAAGGTGTCTAGTTTCAAATTGAATATATTATACTTACAGAAATGCAACAAAAACTCAAGCTAGAAACAAGATTCCCCACTAAAACTAAGGTGCAAGAAAGTCATGCAATGCCTCAAAGCGTACTCTATGATAAAGTCAACAGTGTCTAAGAAGCTGAAAGAGTCAGAATACACATACGCTTATCTCACTCTGAAAATGTACCATCCTTTATTCTTTCCAGGATAACCTCTACCTCTAGTATGAATGGGCAGGAGACAGTTTCAAGGTTAACTGTGTCATGCACAGGGACTGCCATTTTTGTTTTTCTCTGAAATAAACCAACCCATATATCCAAAATAGATTGTTTCTTGGCCAGCAAGCACATCGAACACATGAATTTTATAGCTTTCTAGTATCGAAAATGTCTAAAAATGAGTGAACTTCAAGTAGACATCTTTCTCTTTTTAATATGACGTAGTCAAAAGTAGTCAGGAAGCAACAATCTGGCAGTAGCAGAGTGATTCCACACTAATCTAGCTCATGTCTAGTAGAAACAAACTTAACTACCTAATAAATATTTGCACACGGGCTTTTTAAACTAAAATTAACTGACCAAATATAAGAGGTAATATGGGAAAAAACACCATAAAACAAGGTCATAAAACAAGAATCATCTTTCAACTAATTTAGAACATACTTTGTTCTATATTTACCAGAAGATTTTAGAAAAAAAATCTACTTGTTTTCGACATGTGTAACTTAAGGGCTTTAAAAACTTTTTCATCTCAGTAAAAGTAAGTTTCTTCTACCTTTTGGATCCCAGAATGTAGGCAGTGTTTATTATAGCAAATACAAGAAATTTAAATGAATACAAAACAAATTTTAGATGGATACAATATACAATAGTAAAATGTCCATGGCTGTTGGAAGAACCACCTGGTTTTAGAAGGAACCCCTATTGTCAATGACTGTGTTACCACAGGCAAGTAATTCAATTTCTTTGGGACTTGTTTCCTTACCTGTAAAATAAGATCAATTCTACCCTCCTACAATGGACTTAGCATATACAACAGAACCTAAATATAATGTTTAACGTAGAATTAAACAACCTAAGCTTCCTTGTATCAGTTTAAGCATTTTTAATTTCTATCATATAATATATTCAGATGTTATGTTATTATACCAGGACTCTCCATGAGGCACAATGTGTCTTATATTTACTGACGCAACTCTTTCCCTCACTGTCAGGCATATGGTGTATGACTAGAAAATGTTTTTTGAATGCATAAATGAATGGATGGAAGAATCTCATATCCATAAGCATGTAATTAGAGGGCCATCTTTTCTAAATACCTTGCTAAGATCCTGGACATTCAGTAGCGCTGACATTTCCAATGTCAGTAATGAACAGAAGCAACACAGCACCAAATTTTATGCGGTCTGCAAGGAAACCCAAAGTAAACAATGCAAAAGGACAAAACTGCAAAGGAACTGGAAGAGCACCTGCAGGCTGATGAAAGCAAAGCCCCAGGTGCTCCTGGCAGCTTCCCCAAACTAAACTGCTTAGAACTCATTAAGGTCCAAATCACCTCAAAACTTGACTTCATCAAGAATGACTTCAACCCTCCAAATAATGCTAATAGCCTCATATATACATATACATATAAATATACATGTACATATATATTTTGTTTACGAAGACCATAGAACAGGTAACCACCAATGAGATTTATATTATTCATGACCTAACCCAAAGCAAAGGTTGCCAAGTCCGAGAAAAAGAAACAACTTCAGAAAAAGCTAAAATGGCACATGGACAGGAAAGAAAATTTAATTCCTGTAACATTTTTCACAGGTTCTGCAAAGGTTTAATGTTTACTCATACCTGAGGGATAATCTTCTTTTTCTTATTATTTGCCGCATTGGGTCCAGAAAACAGCTTCTCCAAGGCAGCTAAAGCTGCACTCGCCTTTGCCACTTTCTTATTTGGACCTGCGCCTCTGAATTTCTGTCCATCTACTTCTACCTACAATCAAGAATAACACCTTGCAATTACCCCATGCAATTCCTCTATGTGCTTTTAATTTAAATAGATTATGACATAGAAAACACCAAAAATCAAACAGTGCCACAAGAACTGACTCAGTCTAAAACTTTACATGAAGTTCAGGATATCCTATGTCTTTGAGAAGAAAGATAAGGCTAGGTTGTGTCTGGCTACACACCTCCATTACAAAGCGCTTGTCATGGCTTCCACCAGTCTCTGAGATGAGTTCATACTTGAGACCTCTTCTTTTTTCATTGAGCTCCATTACAGGGTTTTTGCCACTTGCTGTGAGGATAGGGCCCTGAGTTCTTACCTATAAGAGAAAGGGAATCTGAAGGTTCAATCAAGTAAGATTTTAGAATATTGCATTTCTTGTTAATACAATTATGCCAAGGAGGCTCAAAAATTCACTTTAAAGCACTCAGGGGCTAGAATAAGTCACCTCTGTACACAAATGGCAAAATATCATTAAAGCTGTAAAAACTCTACAAGCAGTAAACATTGCAGTCATCCGGCCAGCCTTCTTTCGAAGCAGTATTCAAGACCAATGCAACCATGCCACTGTGGGCCACTCCAGGCTCTGCTCTGTAGTGTTCATGATCTAAGAATAATACTTTAAATTACTAATAACGAGAAGAGAACAGTTTGGATTCACATGATGCCTGAGGGTTCATTTTTCTTCTTTAGGGTTAGGAAGAAATAACTCTCAATTTGCGATGTTAGAGGGGAAATGTTCCTATACACCTCTCAGTCACTCTAAACAGATTTAAGGGGACCTAAGGTAAAAACAATTGGCTATAGACTACGGATTCTGAAATTTTAAAATAACAATAAAGGCAGTCACTCCCTACCCTCAAGGAGCTAAAGTGTAGTGGGAGGGACAGATATCATCACTGCAAAATAACGCATGTTAGAGAGCAGATATATGCTATGGAAATAACTGATTTGAGGAAGGATAAGAACAGAAGTGAAATAATTCATGTAAGAGCATGAAGGTGCAAATGAAAACAGAGGCTAGCATCAAAAACAAATAAATCCACAAAATACAACTGTAATTTTGAGAAAGGAGAAACCAAAAGATAGAGCACTTTTTGAGGTCAGAGATCATGTCTGTAATTCCACCACACAAGAAATGCTGAACACACAAAATACATGCCCAAAAGTGTTAATTTTTTTTTTATTTTTTATTTTTGAGACGGAGTCTCGCTCTGTGGCCCAGGCTGGAGTGCAGTGGTGCAATCTTGGCTCACTGCAACCTCCACCTCCCAGGTTCAGGTAATTCTCCTGCCTCAGCCTCCCAAGTAGCTGGAATTATAGGCACCTGCCACCACACTCGGCTAATTTTTGTATTTTTAGTAGAGACAGGGTTTTACCACGTTGGCCAGGGTGCACTCAAACTCCTGACCTCAGGTGAGCCGCCTGCCTCAGCCTCCCAAAGTGCTGGGATTACAGGTGTGCACCACCACGCCTGGCCCAAAGTATTAAGTATTAATATATAAACCTAATGAAAATCAAGATTCTATCAGTAAAGTATTCTGTGCAGGTTTGATAAGTGGTTAACGCTTTAGAGGTGAACCATCAAAGGACAATTTTTAAGGACAAGTTTAAAAACATCAATAACATCAATAAACATCTTTTCCTGATGGGTTTTTATAATCTGCATTTTTTGAATTTCAAGGCAAATTTCTAGTCACTGTCTTTAAAAGATAATGAGTGATTTTTGAAACTAGGTCTATAGTAATCACTCTATGCTTTCCAAACCTGAAATCATGTCTACAAAAATGAGTCAAGTCATAAAAAATCTGAATTTTAATAAATTACTATTATTCTAAATGAGGAAATAAATAAGGGCTTTCTTTTCTCCTTGCTTCCCACCATTACTACAATATACAGAAACAAAATATAAACGTAGTCACTACCAAAACTTTTTATGTCAGTGTGGCTCCTACTAGCACAGCCCACACTGCTCTCTTCCTTTTTAATTACCTTTGTACTTAATGGTCTGGACCTCATAATTAATGAGCCCTTTTTTTTTTTTTTTTGAGACGGAGTCTCGCTCTGTCACCCAGGCTGAAGTGCAGTGGCATCATCTCGACTCACTGCAAGCTCCGCCTCCCAGGTTCACGCCATTCTCCTGCCTCAGCCTCCCGAGTAGCTGGGACTACAGGCACCCGCCACCACACCCGGCTAATTTTTGTATTTTTAGTAGAGACAGGGTTTTACCACGTTGGCCAGGGTGCACTCAAACTCCTGACCTCAGGTGAGCCGCCTGCCTCAGCCTCCCAAAGTGCTGGGATTACAGGCGTGAGCCACCGCACCCAGCCGAGCCCTTTTTTCTTTTAATAGACATAATATTGTCAGCAAAACAACATCTTGACCTGTGATTGCCACCTGTAATGACTGGTCCCTCTGAGCAGCCAGCCATGACATCATCTGTCCTCTATAGCATCACACGAAGTGCCAAGTGTGGCTTTCTCAGGCTTCAGCCCCATCAATCCTGTCCACACTGGCCCACTTGGCACTTCTTAAACATTTACTTTCACAACTCAAAGTCATCATACCTCCTCTTCCTTCAGTCCAGAATGCTTTCTCTTCCCCACACAGCAAAACTCATCATCTGAAGCCTTGCTGTTCTGCGTGATTGTGTAAGCGTATGTCTAAGAGTCTCACCACCCCTTCCTCCTTCAAGATTTGACATGATTACATTCATTTTGCCATCACAGTGCTTATCGCATTATATTGCCATTTGTTATAAACATGTCTTTTTACCCTTTTAGCCTGGGAGCAGCTCTAGGCTCTGCACACAACTTCTGCAACACTTGGCACTAAGCAGGTATTAAAAGGGCTTTATGGACTGAAAAAAATAGTTTACTAATTAAGTCCTTAATAAATACTTATTCGTACAAATGACAAAGTAAACATTTTTTTTATGTAAGCTCTTGCTGTTACTTTAAAGCTAATGTTCTTTACATAGACTGCAGTAAACATGAGTTCCATGAACTCCCCAATGTATTGTGTATACTCAGTACTTGGATTTCATCCCATTCTATTATCGGTGACAGTAAGTTCACAGGTCAGGACTTAATTAGGGTCTGAGGTACATACTGTGTCAGGCTATGCCTTCCTTCAGGGCTGGACCAACTAAATGATGACCCAATGCACCCCACAGCTTAGCATAAACTTCAAATAATCCCAGTTTCCTCCACTACATCTTGTAGTTTTCTGCCCATCAGTTATTGCAGATAGTCTTGGTATGTTATGAAATGTTGGAAGCAGCTTCCATGGCCAGCAATCAGGAAATACGAGTTCAATTAGGGTATACTCAAATGTTGTGCAATTTACAGATATTTTTAAAGTGAAAAAAATCAAGATATAAAACTGCATGAAAATATGACTGCCTTTATAGAGATTCATTAAAAAAACTGGATGGAAATAAACCAAAATAATAATCATGTCTGTCTCTGTAATATATGTACGGGTTTGTATATGCTTTTTATTTATACTTTTCCACATCTCTCAAATTTCCTACAATGCACATACATATTACTTTTTTTCTGAGAAAAAAATAAGTATACCTCTAAGGTACTGGAGGTTTCAGTTGTAGAATTTCCAGTATTATTGCTTGAGTTTGAAGACACTGTTTCATTTTTACTTTCATTATCTGATTTTTCATCGGAACTCATACATTCAATATCTGCATCAAAGCCTGTTGGATATCCCATTGCCTGCAATACCTGTACAAATTACATTAAGATGCAGTTTTATTCAGACACGAGAAACCAGGGAATAGACAAAACATTGAGAACAAAAGTTTCAAACTCATAGCGTTTGAACCATAAAACACCTTGCAGGAAGAGTGAGATGGTACTAAATCTCTAAGTCCTTGGTTAAATAGGGTATACCTACCAGGGTAGCACCATGGAAAAATGGGGAAAACCTCCTCAGGGTAATTGAGTTTAAATACAGGATGACAAATATAAACCTGACGCTACTCCTGGTTCATTTAATTTGGAGGTGAGAGGTAGAGAAAATAAAGAGGATAGCTAGGTTCAAACCAATAGGATACAGACAAAAATAGCATACTGTAAAAAGTACCCTGGTCTAGAAAGGAAAAAATCTGAGAGTCTAATCCTGTATTTCTTTTCTGGCCCTTAATTTTCCAAACTACAAAACAGGAAGACTGTATTCGTTGACCTCTAAGTTCTATGACTCAATCCATTAGGAGAAATTGGCCCAGAAAGGCAATCAAGAAATTTTTTATCTTCGAACCAACTTGCCTGTCAATTACAAAGTAACATCTAAAACTTTCTACTTTGCTTCCAACATAAACCACAATCAAAACTTAAAAGATTCAGTCTCAGCCAGATGCAGTGGCTCATGCCTGTAATCCCAGCACTTTGGGAAGCCGAGGCGGGTGGATCATTTGAGGTCAGGAGTTCGAGACCAGCCTGGCCAACATGGTAAAACCCAGTCTCTACTAAAGTTACAAAAATTAGCTGGGTGTGGCGGTGCACGCCTGTAATTCCAGCTGCTTCAGATGCTAAGGCAGGAGAACTGCTTGAACCTGGGAGGCAGAGGTTGCAGTGAGCCAAGATTGCGCCACTGCACTCCAGCGTAGGCAACAGAGCAAGGCTCTGTCTCAGGGGAAAAAAAAAAAAAAACGCAAAAACAAGATTCAGTTTCTAGGTTTATTCTCTATACGAAGTAAGCCAGGAACAATTTTAGTCTTGTATTTCCATCCTTCTCTCTCAAGGGTTGATTATGGCTACCTCCAATGTTCAAACTTGTTATACTTTCATTCGATCCTTAGGATTTTTCTTACTTTTTCGAAATAAAGCTTTAAGAACAATGTGTATGTGTGTGTGTATGACTGTGCACAGGCATGCTCACACAGGTGAGTGCCTTTTAATACCTTCCTGATTATACTGCTTTTTAGATGTTTACAAGAGAATATGTTCACATTGTGTAAGCCTCTTTCAAAGGAGGTTGATATAGCTTTGTCACTAATTAGAGGCTTACGCCAGAGGATATAGGGATAGATTCCTAAAGACCCTTGCATTCGTTTCCACTTTTAACCGTTTTAAGTTGCTGAGATTTAAAAGCAACATCGTATATCTTTATAATAACAACTGTACATAATAGGTGTTCCAAAAAATGGTTATGGTGACCACACAAATGAGAAGCCAGCCTTTACAAACAATCACATCTTGTATAAAGGATTTTGCCAATATAAATAAAACAGTGTTACCCTAAACCAAAAAACGGACCTACATAGAATTCTGTACCAAGAGAACCTGAAATTAATTCACACAATTCATATGGATAACTTGGCATTCTTATCATAAATAAATGTCTTGTATTTGCTTGGGAGTAAAGCCAAGAACGCTTTTTTTAACATCTGAAGTTCTGAAAGTGCTCAGGTAGTACTTTATACTAAGTACATTAACATCATTTGTTTATATCCTTATTAATATTTGATTTTAAAAACACCTTCTCCACTGTCTGAGTCCTGTAAGTATGCTCTCTCTGAGAAATCGTATCTCCGAGAATACCTATCATTCCAAATTAACACTAAGCCAATACAGGCTGCAAGTCAAAAGCCAAACATCACAAATAAGTTTGATTTGTGTATTCCAATAAAAGCTAAAGACATTCACCTTAACACAGACAATAAAAATAGGCTAATATACATTATTTAACACTTCTCTCCATCCTTTTCTCACATATCAGATTCGCTTATTATTACAGCAACGTATTTCAATACGTTTACAAATATTTTATATAACTGGTGGATTATATCTCAGGGAAGTGTCCAACACAGTGTAACCAAGAAATTCAAATTAAATCATTTTTTATGAACAGTTATTCTAAGAGTATTTACTAGCATATGCTAAGAAGTCAAAAAAGCAGAGTTCTCAGACCTCTGCAACTGATAAAGATTCTCTCCTTAACCAAACTCTAGACAGGATCCGCTGAGCCATGTTTTTATCTAGGCCCCATCCTTGGGCCTTGTCCTTAAGAGCCACGTTGTAACAAGAATCCTGCTAAATTGGTTTAGCCAGAATCCCTCACCCTCAATATTTAATCACCCTTAATCATCCTTGGTATCTGATCAAATTTCCTCATCCCCCACTGATACGGTTTGTGTCCTCACCCAAATCTCATGTCAAATTGTAATCCCGAATGCTGGAGGCGGGGCCTGGTGGGAGGTGATTGGATCATAGGGGCAGTCTCTAATGGTTTAGCACCATCCCTAGTGCTGTCTCATGACACAGTTCTCAAGAGATCTGGTTGATTTAAAAGTATGTGGCACCTCCTCGCCCTTCTCTCTTCCTTCTGCTCGGGCCACATAAGATGTGCCTGCTTCCCCTCCCACCAAGATTAAAAGTTTCCTGAGGTCTCCCTAGAAGTCACTATGCTTCCTGTACAGCCTGCAGAATCGCGAGCCAGTTAAATCTATTTCCTTTAAAAATTACCTAGTCTCAGGAATTTCTTTATAGCAGTGCAAGAATGGACTAGCATGCCCATCACTGCCCAGGTGGTATCTGAATACCCTGGCCTGCTCTGAGCAAGAATCCTGATAGGTCCCGTTTAGCCAGAAATTACCCCTTCATCCTGATGCTTCCCCTTAGTAATTTTCCATCCACTGATCCATCCCTGTTCCTTGGCTACAAATCCTCACTTGTCCATGTTGAACTCGGAATTGAGCCCAGTTCCATACCGAGGTCTCTTTTCGTTATTGCAGTAATAGTTCCTGAGTACACACTTTTTTTCTTACTGTTTTAACAACTGTCCAGCTCTGGTTTTCTTTGACAGAACCAAGTTTGTTTGGAATCCATGTTAATTCTAAAAAAAACCAGTATACCAAAGAAAAGTGAATTTCAAGTATCTGGCAAACAAATTCAAACCTAATACATCAACTGAGCTTAAAAATGACAAGATCACTCATGGAAACAAGGTGACTGGGAAATCATCTGTGTGTAACCAAATCCCCTTCTTCCTGGAAGAGGGCTGGCGTTAGCAAAGGCTGAGACTGAGAACGATGATCCCCTTGAATACTAGGGGCCAAGAGTGAAAAGAAAAGCACTCTACATCATGGCTCTCTACTCAAAAGAGAGTAACATCCATGGCTTATGTATGATAGAGATCTGATTTCACCAGATTCTCAGGCAATTTGATGTCTCTAAGAACCTCTCCAAAGAGCCTTCCCTTCACCTTCCCTCTTCTAGCTGATCTTTTCCTCACAATGACTAAGATTCTTTTCATGTAATATGGATGATTATGACCCAAAGGTATCCTTTGTGGGGGGCTGCCAGGATAGAGAAGTTGAAGAGTGAAGGGAAGACTGGCCACTAATTCTCCATCACTTTAGGGTGCTTGCCGCTCTGCAGCCAGGCCAGACTCATGCGAAACAAGTGATTTCTTCTTTTCTTTTGATTTGATTCTCTGGTGTGATTTGTCTTAATAGGTACACAACCCTCACCAAGCAATTGAGTAAGAACTAAAAGGATTTTTATTCAGTTGGACCTACTTTCATAAACACATTAGATGCAAAATTCTTTCTCACTCATTTATAAACAACGCATAACATGTGATATAACCTTTATGGATGACAATTTGGCAATATATGTCTGGCATATAATAAGAATTCCAATGCATTTTTTAAACAAATTAATGAATCACTAAAATGTATTGACCTTTTGGCCCAGTAATTCTATCTCTAGAATATATCTTAAGGAATCATCAGACAAGTTCAAAAAGATTTTTTGTAAAGCAATAAAATGGAAGTATCTAAATCCAAAATGATTAGTTACATTATGATAATGTAACAGACCATCTGCTAATAATGAAATGTTAGACTATCACTAAAAATAAGAGCAATCTTTGAGTTAGCTATTTAAAAATTCATAATACATTTTTAGATGAAGAGAGTATCAGCTGGGCGCGGTGGCTCAAGCCTGTAATCCCAGCACTTTGGGGGGCCGAGGTGGGAGGATCACCTGAGTTCAGGAGTTCAAGACCAGCCTGACCAACATGGCGAAACACTGTCTCTACTAAAACTATAAAAATTAGCTGGGTGTAGTGGCAGGTGCCTGTAATCCCAGCTACCCAGGAGGCTGAGGCAGGAGAATCACTGGAACCCAGGAAGCAGAGGCTGCAGTGAGCTGAGACTGCACCACTGCACTCCAGCCTGGGCAACACAGCAAGACTCCATCTAAGAAAGAAAGAAAGAAAGATCCTATTTTTAAAAAATACATTTTTACAGACATTATGTAGGTTCACCATTCCTTATCTGAAACCCTTAGTGCCAGGTTGTTTTGAGAATTCGTAATTTTTCAATTCTGACAGCTAATACAATACATATACCACACATTTTCCAAATCCCCAGTGGATTCTCAGGTGCTGCCCCATGTTTATGCAAAGGAACATATAAAATAATCACACTAAATAGAACACTAAAGACTAAAAATAGCTCCCTATCAATTCAGGTCATGTTTTGCCACCAGGTAATTTACATCAAACCTAGGGAAATTTTTTTCATTTTTAATGCTTTCTGAAGTTAGAATTGTAAGTTAAAATAAGAAGGCTTGGAAGAATAAATACCAAAATGTTAATGGTTATTATTTCTGGGCATTAGAACTATGAATTTTTTCCCCTCATTTTCTAAACCATTTATAACAAACACACATTATGCATTTATAACAAGATTTAAAAAGCCAAAAGTAACTTTTAGAAAACAAGACATAAAATAAAAAATCTATGAAGACCTTAGGGAGAACAATCTACCTCAAAATAGCAAATTCTGGAATAAAGCTATCGGGTCATAAACCTGAGATGTGACAGGCCTAGAAAAGACTGCAGGCCACTTGAGACTGACAGCTAGTAATAGGTTTTCATATCATATAGCTGATAAACCAAAGAAAGTAAGCAGAGTTTTTCAAACCTTCAAAGCTAGTTTACTCTGATTCGTAATTCATTTTACATGAATGGATCAAAAGTTTAGTTTATCCCATTTTCAAAAAGGGAAAATCTTAACTCTTCATAAATTTCAGATTTACCAGTTACTGCACATTCTACCCAAAATGCCACTCAAGGTAAATAAAAGTATGAAGGCCATCTACCCACCACACCAGTCACAAGAAACCATTAAGAATTTCCTCAGGTCCAGTGTCATTCAGATTATAACTGATATCTACATTTCCAAAATTTGTCAGGGAGCTTAACTTAATCCCAGGCTTACAGGCCCTCCATGTTTACCAAAAGCTCAGGTGAATAAAACATAATATTTGGAATTGAAGACAAAAGCATACCCTGTCCAACCAAGTTCCATTATATCATAAAAAGATATCACTGCATCAAATGAAAACAGCATCCAAATCTTGTCACATTGCAAAATTTGCCACTCTACTCGCTCTCCCAAATTTTACTGAATTAGAATTTGCTATGAGGCCACTAGCTTATGTTAAAGGTTACTGTACGAAACAACCCACAAAATTTATCACTGCATCGTAGATGCCTTTAAAAGAGATCACTGATGTCCTTGGTTTGTGAAGATCTACCCAAGGATAAATGCCCACCCGATCAAATACCACAACTGTGACTCTCATAACCAAATTCTCTGTACTTAAGACAAAGAGAGTGAACTGTATATTTCACAAGCTTTTTGTGTCAGCTGCTACAGAACTTAGCTCTAAACTTGTGGCTCATTCTCACTGTATGTTGTTATTAAACTGTATGTTTAGTCTTATTCCTGGATTTACTTTTCCCCTCATTGTTGGTTTTCTTTTTCTGCCTCATTTTAAATTCATACTCTTTCATCATACTTTAGATATCCCTTTTCTAGTGAAGACAGAGCATAAGTACTATGTAGTGTTTGGTATTTTTAAAGCTTAGTGATTGTTTTTCTGCATGTATTGTTCTCATCAGTATCTGACATCTACACGCTTCTTTGTGTATTTGTTGTCTATCTTCCCATCCTATACACACTAGAATGTAAGCTCCATGAGAGCAGGAACTTTGTTTCATTAACTGTCATATCCCCGGTAGCTAGGATGGTGTTTGCATCTACATTAATAATACATACAAAATGACCATGAAAATAGTCCAATTATATCGTATGCTATACTGTTACATAAAATAACTTTTCTTACGTGAATTGAATCTGATCTTCAGTCTACATGATCTTTAACATTTTTGCACTAGTCTGCAAGAGGTCAAATATACTTATAGAGAGATCCCATTACTTGGAAATTTTCTACAAACCTACATGCATAACTGGTCATTATTCCCTATGGAAATATTCTAAAAATACAGATGAAGCACCATATACAAAGATACTGATCAAATTTATAATAGAAACAATCTGAAATAAGCAAAATATCCAATGATAGGAGAATGTTTAAACAAATAGTTTACTCGCAGCATGTTAATCGTACAGCCATTAAAAATTATTTATGAAGATTTTCATAATGAGGAAAAACAGTAATGAAACATTACAAGAAAAACAGGAGATAAAATTACATATATACTGTGAGCTCACTTAAAAAATAAACAGCAAAATAGAAAATGATTGGAAATAAAACAACATACTAGATACAAATACTAATGGTCTTTGCTTCAACAATGGCCAGTTGACGTATTTTAATTTCTTTACTTCTTTCTATATTTTCCAAATTTTATATAATTACCACATAATATTTTACAACAACAAAACTTTGTCATCCAGAAGTAACAAAAGTCTATATATAATAATATTGCTATTAAAATGCTTAAAAATGATAATTTATTATAGGAAAATAAGCATATTATTTGGAACATAAAATAAGAAAGCACTGCGAAGTAAAACAAATACTGTACCTTCACCGCTACGTGAAGTTTTGCTGTCTTCTTGGATGGTCCTGAGGCTTCATATGTTGTGCCATCTACATCTACAGACATTGTGAAGACTGGGGCATGAACAGGGCCAGACTGAGATAAAAGCTTATACTGAAGCCCAGGCCTGATCTGATTTAGCCTCATTAATGCATTCATAAGGTCTATTGCTTTACTATCCAGAACTGTTAAAGAAAGAGGAATGAGGTCAGAAATTAACTAGAAAGTAATCAGTAACTGCTGTAAATTCACCAGATTTTTTAAAAATGAGGATTTCAAAACACACAGATTAACCTCATAAGTAATTCTAAAATTACTATGCTAACATCACTATAAAAATGGTACACATTATTTAACTACACATTAACTTTCGCTTGTCAATATTCATATATCCTAAGCAAAAAAGCTTGGAAACAAAAAAGTTATTCTATTATCAATTGCTCAGTTAAGATCTAGTCTGAAAACTCTAATTCAAGTCAATCAAATTCTTCACTTTTTGGCCAGGCACAGTGGCTCATGCCTGTAATCCCAGCACTTGGAGAGGCCGAGGAGGGTGAATTGCTTGAACTCAGGAGTTCAAGACCAGCCTGGGCAACTTGGCGAAATTCTGTCTCTACCAAAAATACAAAAACTTGGCAGGGTGTGGTGGCATGCACCTGTGATCCCTGCTATTTGAGAAGGCTGAGGTTGAAGGATCACTTGGGCCCAGGAGGTGGAGACTGCAGTAAGCCGAGATCATGCCACAGAACTCCAGTCTCGGTGAGAACCGATCTCATTAAAAAAAAACCTTCACTTCTAATTTTTCTATCTGAGGCTACAAGTCCTCTCTAGTTTGCATCTATAAGAATAAAGGTTTTACACACTTTTCCTTAAGTTTCGTTTCATCTTCTTATTGGGGTCTTTATCATCCCCTAATCCATCTTCAAATGGCCTCTTTAGAGCTGAAGACCCAGCACCTAAAAAAAATTATGAGGGATTCATTATCAGTCAAAACAACAATTCTCTTACCATACCACATGTATCTAACATGTTCAGGTAGGAAAATCTTAGGAATCACACCAAGGATCATACAGCTTTTTCACTGATCAGTTAAGTTACCATTATTTATAATCTAGAAAAGCAAATTTTTTTAAAGCAAATCTTGAAACAATATTATCACTTTTTATATTTATTTTTTTCCATTTATTCATATATACATACCAATATCTATGCCTATGGTATGGTCTGAATATGTTCCCCCAAAATTCATATGTTGAAACTTAATCCCCAGTGCAGTGGGATTAGGAGGTGGGGAACCTGGAAGGTGATGAGGTTATGAGGGTGGAGCCCTTATAAATTTGAAAAGATGCCTGAGAGGGACTGTTTGCCCCTTCTGCCATGTGGGGATACACAGCAGGCACCATCTATGAGGAATGAGCCCTCACGAGACAGCAAATCTGCTGAAGCCTTGATTTTGGACTTTCAAGCCCCTGAGGGCAATAAATTTCTGTTACTTGTAAGTTACCCAGTCTAAGGTATTTTGTTTTAGCAGCCACACAGACAGCATATATTCACATTATATGCATGAAGAGAAAAAGTCCAGAAGGCTATGTATCAAAATGTTAAAAAGTAGTTACCTCTGGTAGGATTTATTTTTACTTAATATCATTTCAAACATCTCTAAAATTTAACATTTATAACTTGTATAAACTTTAGAAGTCCACATGTTAAATCTTATACCTTTGGAAATCTGACTATCAAACTATAAAATATCCTTCTGCCTCTTCAAATCCTATTCAAAATTGTATTTACAGTTCACCTCCTCTATAAAAATGTTCTCTCATATCAAAGAGTTTTTATGGTATCAGAAATGTAAAGTCTTGTATCATTGTCTATTTCATATTTCTTGTGTGTCTTCAGTGCCCTTTGAAGGTCAAAGATATTTTCTCCTTGTCTTGTATCTTACAAACTACCTTAACACAAGACTTAGAAGCAACACAATGAGCACTGAGCAAAAACTAACCGAACTGATTAATAATCAGTTTCTTGGATAAAGCAGCCACCAGTTTATAATGTTGTCAAGCAAAAGGCAGGAACTTTGCTGTCCAAGTTAAAAATTATTAGAGAAAAGTTCATCAACCTATCCAAGTAATTTAAAGATCTCTTTATGTCTTCACTTTAAAAGTTAGTTGTTTTTCCTAAGGAAAATTATGCTCAAGATACTCATGCCACAAGATTTCCAGATTCTTCTAGTGAAAGCCTGTAATAATAATGAGATTATATATTTTCTGATCAAGATTTATTCTCCCTTGAAGTAAACACTGACTTCAGCATTTGCTTGGGTCAATATTTACCACTCAGGTCAATCAATCTTGATGTTCTCTTCAACAGAAGGCAACACTGGCTGAGTATTATATTTCATTTGCATTACATAAAACTATGAGTATGCCAGTCTCCTAGAATGCAGTCTTTAAGAGATAAAAGTTAAAAAAGAACTATGTCTATTCACTCTTCTGCTCATTAAGTTACATTAAAAGCAGTTCCTTGATTGCCTGGAAATCACAAACTAGCTTAAATGCACAGATCTCTTTTCTAAATCCTCCAGCTACATAGAGTTCCATGGATTAAGCTTCATTCTATCATTCCAGCCATTGGAAAGGGGCTGCAAAATGTGGGGTTAATCATAATAGCAACCTAAGGAGAAAAACGGCCTTGCTTTACAGAAAGTAAGTAGTTTTCAACCTTTACAATATCTGGTAATGAGAAGTGATCATTTCTGAGGCAACAATTTTTAAAAATAATATTTTCATATTTACCATATGCCTGACACTGTTAACATCTTACAGGTTATTAACTTATTTAATCCTCACGAGCACCCTCATGAAGCCATTACCTTTATTGTCCCCATTATAAATTCATTCACATATTCAACAATAAACAATAAATATTAATTGAGCATTTACTATGTGAAAGACAATTTTAGGCACTAGACACATAGCAGGTAACAAAACAATCTCCCTTTTCTCAAAGAGCTTACATATACTATCCAAAACTAATTACCACATATACTATGGTAGTGAGTGTAATGGAGAACAATTTATATGTCATGCGCATCAGAAAGGTATCACTAATAAGGAGACCTTTTGATGAAGACCTGAGAAAGTAAAAGAGTGAACTATTCAGCCGTTTGGAGAAAGAGTCCCAGGCAGAGAAAAACAAACAGCAATTACAAAAGTCTTAAGGCAGAAACATGCTAAGAAATGATACAAAGGCCTAAGCAGTTGGAGTGAAACGAACAAGGAGAGGGTGCTAGCAGTAGGTGAGAAGAGCCAAGCAGTAGTTCTCAAACTTCGGTGCCATTAATTGACAAAATATCAAGGATCCACTTCCATAGAGAGTAAATAAGTCCAAAAAGGCTTCCTGACTAGCACAATTAGAAAAACTGGACAAAACAAACAATAAACATCTGTTCCTGGACAATGAAGAATTTTAAAATCAAGATATGGGAGGTGAGCCTGGCACGGTGCCACATGCCTGTAGTCCCAGCTACTCAGGAGGCTGAGGCAGAAGGATTCATTGAGTCCAGGAGTTTGAGGCTAAAGTGGGTTAATGACTGCACCTGCAAATAGCCACTGGACTCCAGCCTGGGCAACATTGCCAAGCCATGTTTTAATTAAAAAAAAAAAAAGATATGGAAGGTGAAAGAAATTCTCTGCATTGGGAGTCACAACCTAGGGGTATCTTCCAAATCCAGAAGAGGTCACTAAGAACTGAAGAGAGTAATGTCAACAAACTCCCAGGTCTCAAGGAGTCCAAAACTAAGTTGAAGGTCCAAGCAGAGAAGGGCTGGTGAACACTCTACACTCTGGGTTGGGCCTCTGAAATGTTATACACTAGAAGTAAGATGAACTGGAAATAGTGTGACTCTCACAAGGACAAAAGCCCAGCTTCAAATTATCTTAATCCCTGACCGCACTGAAATGATCTAAGACTGCCAATTCCATTAGCCACCTCCCAGAAACAAATATAAATCCTCCCTGGAGGAAGATAGCATTACTCTACACTAATTTAAATTATCTACAATTGCTTATTTTAAAAATCCAGCTTCATAATAACCAGGTACATGAAGATATCATGATCAAAAATCAAGAGAAAGCACACACAATAGAAACAGACCCAAAATGGCCCCAGATGATGGACCTTTCAAAAACAAACTTTCTTAAAAATAATTTCAGGCAGAAAATCTGAAACTATAACAGAGCCAAAAATCTATACATGAAAAATATAAACTAAAATCTGGAAGGCCTGAAGGGGAAATGACAAATCCACAATAGATGGGAATTGTCAGAGTTCTCTCAGTAATTAATAACAACATCTGAAAAGCACAATGAACAAGTGACCTGACATGACCTAACATGAAAAAAATATTATGACCCTCAACTGCAGAATATACATTTTCAGAGCAAAAAAAGACCATGTGCTGGGCCATAAAATAGGTCTCAAGAAATATCAAAGGACACAAATCATACAACACATGTTCTTCAATGACAGCGGAATAAGTAAAAACTCAAAAACAAAAGAATTAACTACAAAATCTTCATTTGTCCACAAATTAAGCAATAACATCTAAATACCCTATGGGTCAAAAAACTAGGAATAAAAGTAAAAAATAGCTTTAACTAAATGATAATAAACATACAAATGTCCAAAGACTGTGATGTATGTAAATCTGTGCTTAAAGGAAAATTTACCATCTTAATAGTATATACAATAAAAGGCTGAAAAATCAACGATGTATTCATCCACCTCATACAGTTTAAAAAGAAGAGAAGCAAATTAAACCCAAAGAAAGTCATAAGGAAGGGAAACTACAGATAAGAGCATAAATCAATAAAACAGAATACAAACATACAACAGAAGACAATGAACAAAGCCAAAAGTTAATTTTCCTATAAAGACTAATAAAAATAATAATCCCCTAGGTGAGAGTCATTAGCAAAAAAAAACAAGGTACAAAATATATGAAAGAAGACATTACTACAAATACTACAGACAATAAAATGAGGATCTTATAAATTACTTTATTCCAAAATATTTTAAAATTTAGGTGAAATAGATAAATTCTTAGAAAAACACAGCTTACCAACACTGTCATAAGAAGATGGAAGTCCTATGCTTATTAAGAGAATTAGATCCATAATTTAAAATATTTCCACAAAGAAAACACAAGCCAATGGCTTCCCTGATTAATTCTTCCAACAGTTAAGGAAAAACTAACATCAAATTTATGCAAACTTTTCCAACAATAGAAAAGAAGGAACGTGTCCTAACTCACCTTATGAAGCCAGCATAACCTTGAAGCCAAAACACAGAATTGGTGGCAAATCTAACACACAAATACCTGTGTTTTTGTGACTCGCCCACAAAAACCTACGTTTTATATATATATATATATACACACACACACACACACACACACACATATATATATATGAGAGTGTTCATAGAAGCTTCAACTGTAAAAAGCCCAAACTGGAAACTAACTAAATGTCCTACAATAGGGTAAGTAGTTAAATAAACTCTAGCTCATTCATACCATGGACTACTACTGAACAAGAAGGTACAAACTATTGACACATACAACAACCTGGATGGACCCTAAGGGCATTATGCTGAGTGTAAAAAAAAAAAAAAAAAAAAAAAAAATCGCAAAAGGTCACTTATTGTAGAATTCCATTTATATAAAATCATTGAAATGATAAAATTATGGAGATAGATAAATCTTAGTGGTTTCCAGGGATTAGGGATGACTGAGCAGAGACAGGCGGGTATGACTATAAAGGGGCAGCATGAAGGAGATCTTAATGGTGCTGGAACAGTTCTGTATGTTGATTGTGGTGGTGGCTACAGAAATCTACACATGTAACAAATGGCATAAAACTTATACATACACATTGTATCACTGTCAATTTCCTGG